AAATTTACCGTAGAAAAGTTATTGGCCAGTTGATAAATATTTTATTTAATTTCCATAAAAATATAATATGTATTTTGAACAATTAAGGTTAAAAATACAATTTACCGTAGAAATAGCACAAATTTTAACGCAAAAAATATACTCACTAAAATTATCAAACTTGTGGCAAGTCTTTCCAGCCGCGGCAGCCACATGCAAAGGGGTGTACAAATTCCTATCGTTGGCATTAACATCGGCCCCATTTTTAATTAAAACCTCAGCGGTATCAACGTGCCCCATCTGAACAGCACAATGCAGGGGCCTGACGTCCTTTTTGTCGCATGCATTGACAATGCAACCTTAAACATGGCACGCCGTTTTAAAACTTATTAAATAATTTTTAAATATCAAATTTTATTGTTATATTAAAAAATTTAGGTTTACATTTAAATTTAAAATATTTTTAACTATCATGTATTGAAAGACAAAATTTACTAACAGTTCACTTCTGTTTAAATCATTTTTTAATAAAAATAATTTCTTAAGTAATTTATTTGGCCAAAATTTTGTAAATCCCAAACAAATTTTGTATAAAATTATTTAGATTAAATTGGTAAAGCCATTTAAAATAAAAATACATAAAAAATATTTTTTACCAAAATAGTTTAAAAACTTAATTTTTTTTAATCTCAAAACAATTGATAATAAAAAAATATTTTAATATAAAATGCAAATGTATGGCAAGCCGTTTTACTACTTAATGTACAATTTTTATACAATTAATAGTTATTTAAGATATAAGTGGGATAAGAGCTTTATTAACGTACGCATGCGAAATTTGCCAAACGAGTGCGTAGCACGAGTTGGGCAATCGCAAAAGTACGTTAATAAAGCGTTATCACACGTATATTGTACAAATTTTTATCTACGCCTCTAAATGAAAAAATTAACGGTAATTATTTTTGTCTAAGACTTAATTTAGGGTTATTTTGACATTTTGACTTTTTTATTTGATTGGTTAAAAGCAGAGAAAAACGCGTGCGTTAATAAACTTCTTATCTCACTCGCTTTTTCCTAATGAAAAATGTGAACCAAACCTTACCAATTTGATGTTTAAAGTGCGACGATGCCACACATTTTCGATCTGGTGAGCTTCGAAGGTCATGTAAATTTTCGATCTGGCGAGATTCGATCTATTGAGTTTCGATGCATCGAGGCGTACCCAGGACACCATAAGAAAATGCATTCAGTTGGGAATAATTCGGACATTCCCCATACAAACACGCTTTATATTGAATTGGGAAATCCAAATACGTTTTTTCCAAAAAGAAACCAAACGAAACCTATAGATTTAAGCTCTAAGTGAGATTACAGAATTCGGGTTGTGTGTTTATATTCTGTGTTTGTTTTCTTAATTTAATGTTTATTTCGAGGTTTATTTGGTATCGTTTCGTTTAACGTTTTTTGTTGGGCCGTTTTCTTTAATTTATGGGTTTAGCATTGAGTAAGATGTTCTTTACTCAATGGGTTTAGTCCATAGAGAAAGGTCTATGGTTTAGTCTTTTGTCGTTGTCGTATTTTTAAAACAATATTTTACATATGCAACCATTGTTACTGATACGTTTCTTGGTTGCCTATCTATTGCATATAGATGACCTACAAGGTTGCCAACTTAGCGACTTTGTCGCCAGATCTGGCGTTTTAGAAGTAGCCATTTGAGACATTTTTAATAATTTGCGACGTGTCTCAAATTTAGCGTTTTACAGTGTGATAAAGAAATTCGTTTTTGAACAAAACAAAAAATTATCTTTATATAATACAATGTATTTTTTCTACCCCCACCTTTAAAACCACTGTGTTTAAAACGCCCATAATGTTATAATTATTATAATGGGCCATTATCGTACATGTTTCCATGACACTTTTGAGTATACATTGACAAGTTGTAGCTTTATAGCGTTTTAGTTACAAGCTGAAGTTAGCAACAGGTTTTTAGTCACGGGCAAAAGGTAGTTTTAAGTTAGTTGACGGTTGTCAAATGTCATACTATTGTTAAAACTTAAGTGCCTTTCTTTTTAAATTATAATGTGGAAATTATTTTATTATCTTAATACAAAAATAAAAAGTATTAAATAGTTTCTCAACCTTTTCATTTGCCGGCAGCAAACTAGATTTAATTGAAAGCATTAAAAATTTCGGGTGGAGACTCCACCGGACAGTGTCCCTCTAGACACTCGTTTAATTAAACACTCGCTCGCAAGCCCGCTCGTGCCTTTGATAATTAATAAATTTCGTCAATAAAATGGCGTTTATCAAACACATGATAGGTATCCTATTATTTTTTTAAATTTTTAATGATGTTATTTTTCCATAGAATAGGTATTTATCAACAATAATAATTATAATTATTAATTAGTAGGTATTATGGAATGATGATGCCATTTCCCAGTGCCACTAACTTTATAATCTATGAACCACATTAAAATGCTTTCTTGATGAAAAATCATTTTTGTTTAACAACTACTTTAAACTTGAAATTATTATTATTATTATTATCATTTTTTTTTAATTTAGCGATTTTCAAGTAGGTAGGTACTATGCTCCACACTTCAAAGTCCCACCACGTGACCACGTACGGAACGCAGTCTTTTGATAATTTGTCATTTAAGGCTTTTCAGGTTATGTATCCTTTTTCTATGTGTCAAAGTATAGTCAATGAAAGAAATAATATTTATACTGTTACCGTTTATGTTTAAGCGTTAAAAGTTTATAAATCTTTATAGTATCACAGTAACAATGGTTGGTTTAAGAGTTTAGGAGTATAAATACTGCATTTAATGAAATTCTAAAGTGTATAGTGCCAAATAAGTAAAATTTTTGTGCATTTGGTTTACATAATAGGTTAATATATTATATCTGGTTTTATTCATAAAATAGTTTTAACTAAACGGCATTTATAAAAAAAATCTAGCTTCTCTATTATGGAATAAGAATATCTGTATCAAAGGTAGGTTAATATATTATACCAAAAAATATCATCTAATTTTGAAATTTTAAGGTTAGAAAAATCTATTTTGATCAAAATAAATAAGTATTTTGGATTATTTGGAAGAGTGTGTTAATATGGTCATATAAATATAGATATACTAAATAGTTTTTGAATATGGTTCAAATTAAATTAAAGCTTTTATACTCCTTACAACAAAACTTGTGCATACCTCTCGGGATCCCTACTTTAAGTTAGATTATAAGGAAACAAACAATTTTTAGAGATACATGCAATGTAAAAATATTTAATAATGTTAAATAAATAAATAAATAAATAACATGTGATTTTTGAAATTTTTAAAAGTTATAATGATTTTTCGATGAAGATAAAATTCAGTTGAAGCTTTATACGTAATTGTATTGACAAAACTTTATGTAGGTATACTTTAAGCTAGATAAGAAAGACTACTACAAGTAAAAATATTAGATAGAGTATACTGTGGTTTTATTTAAATTTTAGAATTTATATGGTTATTTATACCTACCTAATGATTGTTCGATGTAGATAAAATTTTGTCGAAGCTTTTATAGGTACTTGTATTGACACTATGGGTATATTAGCTGACAGTGTAAGGAACTTTAGGAAGGTTAGCTATTGAATTTTTAAAAATTTTAATAATTTTAAGGTGTTGTTTTTAGGTTCCTTCTTTAAAATAAACCCCTTTTAATATTTAATTAATTTTAAAATAGTTAAGTTTTACAGTTGAAAATATTTATGCTGGAGTAAAACAAAATAGACATCATAATTGAACAACTGGCTCTTGGAAATAAGCAATATTAAACATTTCAAATATAAAACCATTAGATACTTAATTTTAAAAAACTTTAAATTCTTTTTAAAAATTCAATAGCTAACCTTCTTAAAGTTCCTTACACTGTCAGCTAATATACCCATAGTGTCAATACAAGTACCTATAAAAGCTTCGACAAAATTTTATCTACATCAAACAATCATTAGGTATAAATAACCTTATAAATTTTAAAATTTAAATAAAACCACAGTATACTCTATCTAATATTTTTACTTGTAGTAGTCTTTCTTATCCAGCTTAAAGTATACCTACATAAAGTTTTGTCAATACAATTACGTATAAAGCTTCAACTGAATTTTATCTTCATCAAAAAATCATTATAACTTTTAAGAATTTCAAAAATTACATGGTATGGGAGTATTAAATATTTTTACATTGCATATATCTCTAAAAATTGTTTGTTTCCTTATAATCTAACTTAAAGTAGGGATCCCGAGAAGTATGCACAAGTTTTGTTGTTAGGAGTATAAAAGATTTAATTTAATTTGAACCATATTCAACAATTATTTAGTATATCTATATTTATATGACCATATTAACACACTCTTCCAAATAATCCAAAATACTTATTTATTTTGATCAAAATAGATTTATCTAACCTTAAAATTTCAAAATTAGATGATATTTTTTGTTATAATATATTAACTTACCTTTGATACAGATATTCTTCCATAATAGAGAAGCTAGATTTTTTTAATAAATGCCGTTAAGTTAAAACTATTTCTTGGATAAAATAATATATTAACATATTATGTACCTACACCAAATGCACAAAAATTTTACTTATTTGGCACTACTATACACTTTAGAATTTCATTAAATGCAGTATTTTTACTCCTAAACTCTTAAACCAACCATTGTTACTGTGATACTATAAAGATTTATAAACTTTTAACGCTTAAACATAAACGGTAACAGTATAAATATAATTTCTTTCATTGACTATACTTTGACAGATACATAACCTGAAAAGCCTTAAATGCCAAATTTTCAAAAGACTGCGTTCCGTACTTGGTCACGTGGTGGGACTTTGAAGTGTGGAGCATAGTACATAGAAATAATACTCCTATTATTTCTATGGTACCTAGGTACCAAATAATTTAGCTATTTCTGCCGACTTTTCGTTAAAAACTGTTGGCAACACTGTTAACCTATCTATGACAGAAAATGAATGTGATTATTATGGTAGGGTTGTCAAAGACGGATTTTTTTTAGTTATTAGTGAAATGTGCTTCCTTAAATAGTTTTAAACATTTTATTTACAAACTGTTACATTTATTGTGCTTGGTGATTATATATACCTACAATTGCAAGAAAATACTTCAAGGTAAGGTTATGTAAACCCTTTAGGATGTTAAATTAAAAGTAAATCTTTTAATTAATAAATTAAATACCTAAACCTATATACCTATTGCCTTTTAATATTTAATTAAAATTTTTCGTTGGTTATTTATTAAAATTTTATTTGGTTAACACATTGACAACAATCATAAAAGTAAAAGTATTTTTTAACGGGGTTAATGGGGCAAGTATTTTAATATTGTTTGTTTTATGTACAAAAGATTTATTTTAATTTTTCTTTAATTTATGTAGTTATTTCAACAAAAAACTAGCGTACCGTGTACAAACTTTAATTTTTATAAATCCGTAAATTTCCTCTTAATACGTGCCAATTTGCATGTAGTAGGACTCAAGAAGTTTTTAAACTTGTAATCAAACCTCACTCAAGATCTTTGTTCAATAATCTTTTTTTAGGATATTAAATGTGCTTACATAATAACCTGTTTTGTCTAGGCATAATAATGAGTAAATGCATAATGCATAATAATGAGTAAATGCAGAAGTATACTCAGGCCCGTTCCCGGGGTGTCTTGCGCCTACGTGCGGCATTTTTTGGTGCGCCCCTTTTATATTTAAATATAATACATTAAATGTTTTAATTTAAGCCCTAAAATTTCAAAAATATATATTTTGCAACAAACTGGCAAAATGTAATTGAAAATGTAAAAAAACTGCTGAAATTAAGTATAAAAAATATTTATTAAGTTACCAAACAAACAAAATCACAAAAAATAGTAATAAACACAACAAAAGTTTTTTTTAAAACTATTTAAACAATATAATAAAACTAAAAACAAGTTGTAGTTCTACAACTTTTAGTGACGTACTCTCTAAAAATGAATTACCTAGTAAAAAATGCCTAGTTTTTAAAGTGAAAGAGCAGTCACTAATAACTGTAGTCCACAGCAATTTGTATCCTGGAAATTTAACAGCTTATTATTAAGTAAAATTGTCCCCTGAGTCCGAAAAATTATGAAAGTAGAGAAGTTTTTGAGATATCTTATACTCGATCTTATATTCCATATTATATGGAAAATTGACTATGTATATACTTCTTTAGCTTATACGCTAAAGAAGTATAGGGTTTTCGCAACGCGCGCGCCATCTGTTGGACTTCGATAGCATTGCGTGAATTTAAACACTCACTCGCAAGCTTCGCTCGTGCTTAATAAAACTCGTAACTAAAATAGCGTTTATAAAACTTGATACATAATATACTATTATCTACTCCTACATTGACAAGTGGTGACTTTATGGCGTTTTAGTCACGGGCTGAAGTTAACAACAGTGGCTTTTGGGCATTTTAGTCACGGGCTAAAGTTAGCTTTATTATAAATTGCGAAAAAAGTGAGGTTAATTTCGTAAAATGTCAAATATTTATGAATTAAAATTGGCTTCCAATTCTTATTTCTGTTCGTCGCGTCGGATCTATAGATAAAGTATAGTATGCAACTCGTTTTATAAACATCTTGAGATCTGTCTAGATGTAGACACTCGTTTTTATTAAACACTCGTACATTAGTATGTACATTATAGACCAGGAAGAGAAAGCACATATTATCGCCGTGCATACATTTCACAATAGATTTAGTGTGAGGCAATTATAAACTTTCGCCGCCGGGTTTTAAATACTATTTTTTTAACATTTAATTAAATAATTTCTTAAGATTCTGTCACATCATTTTTTCAACTGACATGATGACATTTTAACTTTATTTTAAGTTTTTAAGTTTAATAATAATTTGACTTTTGAACTTATGAAGCCTTTCTATATAGACTTATGATTCTTATAATATGAAAATTATGGTACACTTAAAAAAAATAGTATATTGTGTGACTATTGGTTAAAAGAGGAGATTGCTTAAAGCTAACTTCTGACGCGGGCGAAATGCCATTACGCCCACTAGTCGCCGAAGTAAAATTTCGCCCACCGGTTTAAGTAAGTTAAGAAATGAAAATTTGTGTATGTGATAAAATTATGTATTTATTGTAAATGTTTTAAAGCAGAGGCAAATAAACAAAAATAATTATTAATACGGCTAGTAAGTGAACAAAATCCTAAGTGGTTACATAAAAAATTGAAACACCTACGTTTATCCTCCAAAGCATCCAGTACGAGCACACTGGACCAGTGGCGAATCATAAAAGAAAATATGCTGGAATCTTTCGAAATTATTGGTGTAAATATGTCGTTAAAGATCTACTTTTAACATAACCTTGTCTTGATAAATTCGAAAGCCAGAAGCCAAGTGAATCGGCTGAACACGGTGAACGATTTCATCAAGTATATGCAAGTCTATAACACTGGTATACCGGCAAGAAACTGGCCGATTTATGCTGGAATCTCCAAATGCAGATAAAAGGACCAAAAATAACCAATTTTTAATTCATATACAGTATGTCCCCGGATAGATGTAACAACTCTAGTGAAAGCAAAAAAATTGAATTTAATTTTCATTTTTGGGGGTTTAGCCCTGCTTGATTAAGGATTAGTTTTAAACATACCAGTTGTTAAAAATAAAGTATGCCTTGGAAATATTTAAATATATTATTTCTTCTAGGGAAAAAATACATCAAAATGTTATTAAGAAAAGTTGTTTAGAATTAAGATGATGTGAAGTATCATAAAGAATTTATTGGTAAATTTTTATCAAATTCGACACTCACTCCAGGACAACCTTAACTAAAGTTATATATAAAAACGTATACTATCGGGTGTGCGAATTTTTAACGAATCTGAAAATAAATAAATATTTTAGAAAAATTTAAATACCAAGTGGAAAATGTCAAAATTATGTGCAGTTATAACAAGTCCGTCGCAAAAAATCGAGTGTGGTTTGCGACTATTTCATGCAAAGTGCACTTAGCGACAATCAATTAAAAACTATCGATGGTTTTTATTCGAAATGACCGATGTGATGCAAAAAAGAACGAAATTCTCAAATAGCTGATAACCAGAATAAAAATTATGATCTATTTAAAATTATAGAAGAACTTAAAAACACAATTTTGGGTCTAAAAGATAAAATTCGAGAACTAAAAAGGAGAGAAAATAATATAATAATTTTCAACGTAAACAAAATTAATGGGGAAGAGATAGAAATAAAGAATAAAGAAATAGACTTTACAACCATTAAACCATTTAGATTAGGAAAACGTGGTCAAAACAGACCGCTGAAAGTAGCCTTAAAAAACCCAGAAGAAGCTAGAAATAAAATATTGTTTCAACGAACTGATAATAAAATTATTATTTGTTTGGACAACACTTCGCTTTGTTTAAGTAAAACTTGGCTTACTCCTGAAATTACAAGTAAAAACTATTTTATAAATAATTTCAATTTAGTTACAAGAGTCAATCCAAATGAAAACACCAAAAATGAATTTAAAAGTGCGCTGCATGATTTTTTATTTTAATGAAAAAATTTGAGAATTATCTTTTAGGTATCATATATGAAAAACCGTTGCCGTTTTAATTTTTAGTTGCTTTATTTTTAATCGACACCCTTTAGAAACCTCAAATCGTGTCATTTTCTTACTCTCTTATAAGAGGCTAAAACTTTTTTTCTGTGGCAATTATTGAAATGAATGTTTTTTATTTTAGTATGTTTTCAATATTAATTAATTAATAATTATTTGTAACTAATTAGTTCATCTCATAAAATAATGGTAAACCACTAAAGATTTGTAATAATTTGCCAATTTTTGTGATTTTTGTCTGGCTCCTGTGTCTATTCTGTTGCTTTTTTTCAGGTATCAAGTACTTATACAATAGAAAACGGAACTATTACTTTAAGTTTCTAGACTGTCATTTTCTTTATTAAAAAAATTAATATAATAATAATATAAAAAATAAAAATCTGAAACTTTCAGGAAATGTAGTCCCTACCTTCATCTTTTCAGTCTAGTTAGTCTTGTTTTGTTATTTTTATCCATGTAAAAGATATAATAATTTTTTTAATGCAGTTAAGATGTTATACAAAATTTACCAAAGAAATACGCACAAATAACCCTATTAAAAATGCCATATAGAACACAAAATAAAAATCTATGTGGTTCAATATAGGAATTTGAAACAGGCATTGCACTATTGAACCAGATAGAATTTCATACCTGGAAAACCATATAGAAAAGTTATTTCTATATGGATTGCCATATAGGTTCATATTGCTCTATCTGGCCCAATATGGTTTGGGTGTGAAAAAATTATTACCATATAGATCCATATTTAACCATATAGGGGAATCTATATGGTTTAATATGCAATTTTCGTTATAAATATATATACATTTTAAAATGGAATTCCATATTCAACCATATAGGGAAACCTATATGGAAAGACACATAAAACAGAAACCAGATAAATCCATATAAAAATCCCTAAGTTGTACATTTTAAAATGAAATTCCATATTAAACCATATAGATTCCAAAGTGTAAACCAGGTCGTTCCATATAGGACATATAGAACCATATAAATCCATATTAGTTTCCTTATCTGGATCAATATGGGTTCTATAGGGCATTTTTAATAGGGAATATTTATGAAATATTTTTGACAGTTCTGACACTTCTCCACCAAACATGAAAGCCATCTAAATTTTAAATTATAAATAAAACTAACAATATCGCTACTAAACGGGCAAAAATTAATATATCTTTTAAAGGAATAAAAATAACAAAACAAGACTAACTGGACTGAAAAGATAAAGGTGGGGACTACATTTCCTGAAAGTTTCAGATTTTTATTTTTTCCTCAACATAATGATTTCTAAAGGCAAAATTGACTAATTTCAATATTTTTTTTAATAAAGAAAATGATGTATAAGTACTTGATACCTGAAAAAAATAACTTTCTAAATTTTGTAGAATAGGCACAGGAGCCAGACAAAAATCACAAAAATTGGCAAATTATCATGAATCTTTAGTAGTTTACCATTCTTTTATTAGATTAACTAATTGGATAATAATAATTTATATCGAAAACACA